GGAAACAAAGGAAGGTTGGCACCTCTGGGTTTAGGCTCTCTGTAGTGGGGAAAATTAAGTCATGGCCTCTAAAGTATGTAAGCTTTTGAAACCTGCAATACTGAATTTTTTTCATGCCTAAATCAAGCTGGAGCTTGTATGTGCTTCATGGTTTGTAATCTGGGTGTTGTTTGTAATGCATGTCCATGAAGGTTTTTTGGAAAACCAGGACTGCTGGAGGTAGCACTCTACTGTCAGCAGGGGAGTATGGGGGCCATGCATTCAGCACTATTATGCATTATGAGAGAAAGGAAATTGGAACTTTTAAGCTGCTATTAGTAAAGGCATCCAGTTACCCAACATTTTGAAAAATGGTATGAATCTTGAAAGGGCAGTGCTTTTATGTTTGTTACGTCCCCAGCAGTTTCAGGTGGTTCATTTGTGTGGCTCCAAGTCCCTGATCCTGATCAGTATGTGAAGGCTTAGGGTTAGATTCCCCGCTCCCTATCTGCGATACCTTGGGGACAGTGCTGGCAGCTTTTGGCACAGTCTTGTTTTCTTACTGACTACCGCTTATGTTTCCACCTTGGAGCATTGCAGCTGTAAAGCTGGTGTCTGTCCTCTGCTCTCAGCATTCTGCTCAGAATCTTATTTTCCCCTTTGTTCCATATTTCTACAGATACTTAAGCAGCTGCATCCCATGACTCCTTAAAAGGAGTCCTGTATTTGTAATCAATATTAGTGATCAGTATTAGTGAACCCTTCAGCCCTGGCAACTGTACCTCAGGATGGGGAATGCCAGAGGCTTATTGCTTTTGGCAGCAAATTGTTAGGAGGCGCAAAGTGGAACATAGATGTCTCTTCCCTTTATTCCTTATGCAAGATGGGTTATGTACCCTCACTTCTAAGCAACTTTGGAATTGACTGATTGATGTACAGGTCAAAGACTAGCTGGATGGCCATCATTTACCTTCTGGTAGTGCTTCTTACTTGCTCCCTCCATTGTAATGCTCTTGCATGCAATATCACCTTGGTGACTTTTTGTAGGTAAATCCCACTGAAACATGTATTTGTAAAACAGTGAAGTTTTTTGAAATGCAAGGTTTTGCATGGTTTTCTGATTTTCTTCATGACATTACCTTATGATTCCCCTTTGTAACTGGGATGCAGGGTCACTTGCTTGAAATTCACCTCTGTCTTGGGAATTTGTACTGGGAGCCCCGAGGTGTCCCTGCCTCCAGAGCCCAGGACTCAGACCTCAGCTGAACTTCATTCTGTGTCTGCCCACCTGCTAATGGCATTAAGCTTGACTATTGCCACTTCGCCCTTTCTGATGTTCTTGGTTCAAAATTTAAGTGATACTTTGTGTTGGTATTTTTCAAGCTTTCTTTATCCTTGTTTGGAAACAGCAGCTTGATTTTTAGGTCTGTGAAGCATTAGGAACAAAACTGCACTGTGTTTGGTCATCTTTTTCCCTTGCTGCCCCTTGATAGATGTGTACAGCTTGGTTGCTGGGAGTGTCCTGCTTCTCAACAGTGAATATGTCCTCTGTCTAGTAGTACAACATCTGTGTATGTGATTGTGGAGCAACTGAGGATTTTATAAATGTCATGCAAAAAAAAAAAAAAAAAAAAAAACACCAAAAAACACCAATCCCCATCGTTTGTACTCTGCTCAATGTCTGTTTTGGCAGTCTCTGTGCTCTAAGGACTACAAGCAAGCGGGAACTGTGTGCAGGGGAAAAATGGATGATTTACTTGAATTTTATCTTATCCTCTTTTTCCTTTGCTCTTGAACTGTTTTTCTTTAGGGAAACAGAACTGGTGCACAATAGCAAGAATTTATTCCCTCCGAGAAGCTGTTTCTCAGTCAGGTGATGCAACCTGGACAGTGTTAAAGCCACCTAGAGGCTGCAAATATCCTTGGCTACCTTTCAGTTAAAGGTGGTAAAAGCAATTTACTGTTATACATGGGGTTTCTTATGCATCCTTGATAGGACTTCTGTAGACCAAGAAGGATGTGTTCAAGTTTGCGGTGCTTTCACTTCATGAGTATATGTAAATGCGTATTTCAAGCGATATTAAAGCAATATTAAAATCACTAACAAACAGCTTTAATGCTTTTTTCTCCCTGCTGCTCGTGAGAGCAGCGTTTAGTAACCCATGACCAGCTGGGATGAGCAATCAGTACGTGAGAACAAGCTGTGTACTGCAGTGGTGGGATGAAGTTGCACATGGCTAGTTGGAAAAAGGACAGCATGATCCATTGTTTGTCCCCTGTGTGAAGGGGCATGAGCAAGCTTGGTGACATTCTCTGCAAATGGTAACCAGTGTGCAGTACTTGACTCTAGGTTGTGTATGAACTGGTTAAGCAAGTATCTGCATCTCCGAAAATCTGACCTTGGTTTCTGATGCATGATTGAGAGTATGTTGTGGTTTTCTTTTGTTAATTCTCAACTGTTTCTATGATAGCAACCAAAGTATGTGAGATAAGCTGACCAAAGGATTTTTCTTTAAAAAGATTATTTTGGCTTATGTTGAGGCTGGAGAATTACACCAGTTACACTTTTTTTTTGGGGGGGGGGGTGGGGGGGGAGAAGAAGAGGGGAAGCTTTTCATGTTTGCTACAGGCTGAAGTTTGGGGTTTGTTTCTTGTGGGTGGTGGGTTTTTTTATTTCCCCCTTTTGTTTTTTGTTCGTTTTAAACCTGAACGAATCAGATTGTAGCTACTGCTGGGATGACATGAGAGGAGCCCTAAGCCCCCTTCCAAGAACTCCCTCCCTCTTTCTTAGGCCTTCTAATCATGTATAAGCAGTTATTTTACCCTGCCGCTAGGTCTAAGTGGAGAACATTTTAATTCTGTTTGATATGACAAATGAATTCGTAAGCAACTTACCTGACAAAACTCCTTCACTGAAACAGTTTTTTGTTGATTTCTTGTTTCTTGGGTGTGTTCTTTCACGGCACAGGAACCTCCCCATCATTTTGACTGGCTAAGAGGGAGAGATCCTATTTCTGCTGTTTGCTTCAATGTGATGGAAGGGGAGGGGGGTGGTGTGACTATTCCCTTGCCTGTGTGTCTGTTTTAAGCAGCACTGAGGCTTTTTCGTCACCTTTCAATTCTTGCTCTGGTTCAGCATGTGCTTCAACTTGCACACTAGGTACAAGCATTGTGCACAGTGAGGCAGCACAGGGCAGCTTCCAAAGCCTTTAGGAGTCCCTGTGCAGCATGTGGGCTACTGTCAGATCTCAGCAGACCTTTAGGGATGCCAGCTCTTTGCAAATGTTGGCAGAGGATACTATGCTGGTCTCTTGCTCAGAAACAGCTCTTCCCTCTATCACCTTTTTTTTGGCGGTTTTGGTCTTGGTTCATTCCATAACTTTCCCTAGGCACTGAGGTAAGACTAGTGCCATCTACTAGATGGGGGTGATTTTAACCTTCTTCCAGTTTTTTGGGATGTCCCCCTATCTCCACAGTCTCTCAGGGATTATGGAGAGTAACCTCACGATGTTGTGATGTTGTCAGCCAGCTCTCTTAACACCCTCGGGTGGATATTGTCAGGGTCCATCATTCTGAGGGGTCAAACTTCTGAAGTATTTCACACACCAACTCTTCTTTCACTGATTGTGGGTCTGTGTTTGCATCAACCTGCATTTTTGTTCCTAAGGCGTGGGGCTCAACAGTGCTGGTAATGACAGAGGTGTGAAGGAAGTGTTGAGAACCTCTGCCTTTTCAGCGTTCTTTGTGACCAGTTCTCTCTTGCTGAACAGTGGGCCAGTATTTTCTTTCTGTTTTGCTTGTTGTTGATGTACCTGAATAACCCTTTCTTGTAGTTTTTGATGTCTCAGGCCATTTTCAATTTGAGCTGAGCTTCTGCATTTCTAACTGCATCTCTGCATACCTTGGCAGTGACCTTGTAGTTCTCAATGGGTATTTATGTGCTTTTTCATCTCCTGTATGCTTCTCTTTTGGTTTTGAGCAGACTCAGAAGCTCACAGTTAAGTTAAGGGGATCTCTTTCTCCATCTACTTCCCTTACCTTTAAAGGGGATAAACTGGTTTTGTGTTTCCAGGAGAGTGTTCTTGAAAATCTCTCATTAGTTCCTGTATCTTCTGTGGAAGCTTCCCGTGGAATCCCTCCCAGTTGAGTGAGTGAACTGAAGTTTGCTCTTGTAGAATCTAAAACCTTTGTCTTGGCACTAACCTTCAGCATGCTCAGCTGGATGCCCAACTTCACAATAGTATGATTGCTGCTGCCAGGGCTGTCTCTAACCAAGATACTTCAAAGCAGGTGTTTGGTTTTTTTTTTTGTTTGTAAGGAGCAAGTCCTGTTTGGCACATCTAATGTGTACAGGGAAGCAGTCCTCTGCGTGTTCCAGGAACTTGATGGGTGGCAGGTGGGCTGCTGTGTTGTTTTTCTAACAAATGTCTGGGTGGTTGAAGTCATCCATAAGAACTAGGTTCTGGTGACCCAAATATTGCTTCATTGACCTTATTGTCTTGGTTTGGAGGTTGTTAGCAGATACCTACTCCAAGGTCCCCCTTGGAGGTGACTCATCTGATCTTGAGCCAGAGACATTCAGTAGGGCTTCCACAATTGCTGTAGTTGACTTACATACATTCAAGGCTCTCCTTAACATAGGGAGCAACTCCTCTTTCTTCTCTCCTCTGCCTAAGAGAGCCTATAGCCATCCATCGCAATCCTCCCATCATGTGAGTTGTCCCACCATGTTTCAGTTATTATAATGATAGGATATAACTTTCTGACTTGGTGCAGAGTTCCAGTTCCTCCTGTTTGTTCCTCAGGCTGCATGCATTGGTATACACTTCAGGTGGTTCGTCTTCTGGCTCTCATCTTGGGAGGTACATTTAAAGGAGCATTTGCCTCTCCTCTGGTTGGCCTGGCCTATCCCAAAGTTTGCATCAAAGAAATAGGAGCATAAATATTTTCAACTCTTTAAAATAGAAGTTACATAAAATTCTAGGTTTACTAATAAAAGGTGTATTTTCTGACTGTCCTAGGCTTTTGGGCAGGCCCATACCAACCACAAGAAGGTAGCAGCAGATGGAGAGAGCAGAGAGGAGACCTTGATTCAGGAATCTGCTACCAAGGAAGAGTACTACATGAAGAAGGTTATGGAGTTGCAGACTGAACTGAAGCAGCTCAGAAATGTCCTTGCCAACACTCAGTCTGAAAATGAACGCCTTAATTCTGTTGCACAGGAGCTGAAAGAGGTGAGTGAAGGTGTGCAGTGCGTACCACAGCTTGTATTGTAGTTATGTGCCCTTGTCCTGGGTAACAAAAATAAGGAAAATTCTTGAGCTGATCAGTAATACTGGCAACTGATAATATGTGTTGTCTATTTAGTGAAATACTACATCCAGATGAAGCTCTAATTCAGCAGTGCAGTAAATACAGCTTTGTGGATCCATCCACTGAGCCAGCCTGTGGTGGCCACAGTGCTTCTGATCCAGTACACATTCACTCCACCTTGTTCAAATACCTGCTAGTTCTGCACAAACCACTGCACTGTCTCAGAGGTGATTTGACTGACAGATGATTGCCTGTCTGGGCCACACTGATGCTGTGGGCGTACCCCACATCAGTTCCTGCTGCATTAAAAAGCAGAGGAATTTGTTTAGTCCAAGCATAGTGGTGTTGTGGATGTACTTTTTCTGCCTTGCTCCCAATTCTTGCTGCAAAATACCTGGGACATACTTTCCCCTTTTATCTCTTTTCCAACCCTAACTTTTAGGATGCGGGAGCATAACATAAAAAAGGAGTAGCAGTAAAGTTTATAGTCTTGTGTTTTCTCTCATGAAAGTGATGGGTTTTATTTTTTCATAGGTTGCTCATCTTGCTAACTCAAAGTACCTTTAACCTTTTATTGTTTAATATTGAAACTGCCTGTTTCTGAGAGGAAATAGTTGCTGAGAAATTGACATAAAGTATAATTACTTATGAAATCTGTAGCTCAGCAAGAGTTCTGTGGCACTGATGAAGAAAAGATTGTTTTGAGAGCTCAAGCCATTGCTTAAATTTAGACAGCAAAAGTTAGAGAGATTGCAAACCATAGATGGATGTGGTAAACAGCTAGCAATTACTACTCATGCGCTTTCTTGCATTTTCCTTTGAAGCGCTGGGTACTAGTCTCATCTAGACCTGGGATAATAGAGTGGCCTTCCTTGCCAGGAGAGGAGGTTACCTAAGAGCCCACGTCTTAATCTCCATGTACAATGCACAACCACAGCCAAAAATCAGAAACGTCTTATTTAATTTCTTTATGTCATAGTAACAAATATGTGGATAATATTTGGTGGTAAAATTAATGAGGAAATGTGGATTACTTCAGTGGAGATTTGGGGGTTCACTACTACCTCTCTTTGGGTATGACAGAGAAGGAGATTTGTGGGGCAAACTGTCACAGGTGATCAAACAGGCCAGTCAAGCTCCCCTTGCGGTCCTGGCTGTGGGAGAACAGAGCTCAAATCAGGCCATATGCTCTTCTTAGGCAAGGAATCAGTCCCTGCAAGCACACACACAACTCTTCTCTGTATTTCCTAACCTTTAAGGACAGTTTAAAAGAAAAGCTCCTCACTCTGGAGGCAGCGTCATGTCCATAATGGGTTCCAGACTCTGTCAAAAGCATGTGGTTGGCAGATTTCAATCCTGCTCCCTGCATCACAGCAGCTGAAGGTGATTTTTTTGTTCTAGATACTGCTGCATTTCAGCCACCTCTGCTTTGAGCTGTGTTTTGCTTTATACAACACTTGAATGAGCTGTCAGTTTGCATGGATTTAAGGTGTGTTTTTTTTCTTGTGCTTTGCCTTTCTACCTCACTCACACCCCCTTTTAAACAAACACACTTGTGTGAGTTGGACTCCAGGGAGAGCTGGAGAGTGCAGGAAGAGGGGAGGTTGGGGATGTCAGGATTCTTGTGAAAATTTTAATTTGGTTTAAATACTTTTTTTTTTTTTTTCTTTTAAATGCTCTCATATACTGAACAGGGGAAGATGCAGTTAGTTACTTGACTGGAAATAAAGGCTCATGATAATTACTGGATGTGTCTGATGTTGAACTTTGAATGGAAACCTAATTCAGTTAAAGAAAAATAAAAATTAAAGCCTAATTTGGTAAATAACTGGAGTTTTGAAGTTAGGGGATTTCCTGCCTGTCACTTCGTGTCATCTCAGTGTGTGTGTTCTCCCTTGCCTTTTTTTAGCCTAGCTGTTTCTTCTCCTGCTGGTAAATTCTGGTGAGGTGAAGAAAGGAGAAAAAGAAACGGCATGAAAGCTGTAGTGTTAAAGTAAAAACACCTGTGCCAGTTGATAGTGTGTGGTTTGGGATTCTTCTGAAGATGAGAAGACAAAAATCACAGGCTGGTTTGGTTTGGAAGTGACCTTAAAGCTCATCTAGCTCAAACCCCCTGCCATGGGCAGGGACACCTTCCACTAGAGCAGGTTGCTCCAAACTGGCCTTGAACAATTCTGAAGATGCCTATTTGTGTGTTTCATTTTGGTTTGAATTGCCTTGTAGTTACTGGTAGGAAACAGTGACACACGGTGTGTGAACAGAGATATCGGCCTTCTCCTGGCCCACCAAAAAAACAAGGCAACATGACCATCTTGAGGGACATGGCTTTTCTCTCAAAAGGTGCATCTGAATGTGGCAGAATTTCAAATAGTTGCTATTTCTCCATTGCTGTCCAGGTATGTAGAATCAGGGCGATATGCACAGGCCTCCTGTGGTGATTTACAGCTCTAATAGCAAATTTAATTTGTTGTGTAAGAGGAATCAGGGAGGAGGTGTTGTGGTTGTTGTAAGGTAGTGAGCAAGATGAGCAGTGGGGTTTTCTCCAGTCCCTGTTGCCAAGCTTAGCTTTAGCCCATTTCGTAGTTAAAGTTTTATGTTGATACGTGTCCAGGGAAATTCTGTGCTATAGAGTTCTGCTGTAGTCTGGAAGTGTTGGGGAAGAAGGCAGAATATGATCTACTCCTTTATATACCGTGGAGATGGTTGAAATTACTACCTTCATTTCTTCTGATTGGTGATGAAAGAAAAAATGCTGTGGCCATTTTCTACAAGATGGAGTAGACTTGCAGGCAGATCTGTTCTTTATAGTGTGTATTTTGGAAGTCCAGTATTGCCTGACTTGCAAGTTGTCTGGGGGAATAGGAAACTCTGCTTCCATTGCAACTGTTCTGGATTTGCTCCAGATAGGAGGAAGGATGTGGAAAATGTGTGTCTGTGTCCTCTGGCCAGGCAGAGGGGCTTCTCCTGTCAAAACAAAAAGGAAGTTTAAGAGCAAAAGAACCCACCACCAAAACTCAGGAAATTAACTGAGGCTGAATCTCTGCCTTATTTTTAAGGGAGATTTGCTTGGCAGGGCTGGTTGCAAAAGTTTTTGCAGCTATCTGAGAGGACACAGAGGTTTACTGTTACTGAAGCTTTTAGTAGCATCCCAAGGAAGATGATTGAGTGCATCAGGCAGCAGCTCCTCTTGAGATGCTGCTGGCAGTAGCAGTGGTGGTGGGTTGAAACCAGAGGTTGACCCACATGGGTTGGAGGTGCGTTCATGACTGTGCGTTTGAGATGCTATCATTCCTTTTTTGTCTTCTCAGGACACTTGCACAGAAGCAATGAGTTGTTGGAAGAAGACATTCAGTACACCTGGGGTTACTGGAGCAGGCACAAGTGGTTTTGATGCTTTCTTTTGAATTACCTAACTTTGGCCTGTTGAGACAGGCTGGCAGAGTGATTACTGATTATGAGTTTTACTGCTGTCATTAGCTAGCTCAGCAGCTCCTCTGTCCTGGAAGAGTCACTGGAAGGAGTAATTGCTCCTGAGTAATTGCTAATTGCTGTTCCTTTTTAATATTCTTCATCTCTCCAGTGTTTTAGTGGCACCAAAAGAGATTTTGGAGGGTGATTTGGCTGTGAAGTCATGAGGTAGCCGTGCCCAGAAAAGCTGAAAACTAAATGAGCAGTTCTTTCCCAGGAAAGTAAAGGGTGTTCTGATTATGTAAACTAAAGAAGGAAATATAGTTTAATGAGTATATTTAATTCTCATAAAATGTATATCTAATAGGTTTTATCAGGAAAGTGTGTGTCAGTCTGAAGGTTAATGAACAGCGTGTGGTTTCCAGGCCCTGCTATGTGCAGGGGGACTCTCTTATGCTTTAGTTGATAATGCTGGGATTCTCAGGTCTGTGTCAAACACAGACATACAACTGTTTATCCTGGTTTGGTTTGGGGTTTTTTTAATTGTTTTTAACCCTCAAGAAAAAGAATACCCAGCACATAAACCTCTATAAAATTGTCAGGTTTATCCTTCCATTCTATCCCCTTGCCTCACACTGGAGGAATTGGTCATGAGTTTGTTTAACCAGAGTCTCATGCTGTCAGGGTCCGATTAGAGAAAACCCCAGTGCCAGACCCTGTTTCAGTTCCTGACCCCAAGAGTGAAATCAAGACACAGATAAGGTCAAGGACCATAATTGGACAGTTTGTTTATTAGAAATTACAAAAAGACAGTTATTATAAAAAAAGGAAATTATTGCAATGAAGGTGATAGCGATAGGACAGATTGGAAAAAAGGCAGAAAATGAAGCAAGTATTCGGGGTGCAGAGAGTGAGAGAGAGAGTCACCACCATGGATCCAGCAGTGTCCCAGGGTTGCATTGTCATCATCGTCAGTGGTGGGAGTTCTTCAGGGTTCGTAGTTGGTATTGGAGCAGAGTGTCCCCCAAGTGTCTGTTGGAGGTGGTGTCCTTGTGTAGGTGCCCTTCTGGAGTCCCTTTGAAGGTACCCCATGGAGCGGGTCTTGTGGAGTTGCCCTCACGGCGATGTCTCATGGAGGGTGTCCCTCAGGGTCCATAGTAGTCATTCGTGGAGTGTCCTCACGGAGGTCTTTCTGGAGTCATCTTCATGGCCATGGCTCCCTGGCAATGTCTGTCTTGGTGATTACCTTTTTCCCTTTTTGCGAAGACCTGGGAGGAGTACCTCTGCTCTTCATGTCACGTATTACACGTTCCTGGTGGCCCACTTTCCCTGGTCTTGCAACCAGCTCTTTGACTGCACGCATCTGCGCACACATGTGTCTGCAGCAATTCTTGGGATAATGGGTTGCAGTTCCTCACACCAGTCCTCAAGGTAATGGACTTAAGAGTCTTAGCTCTTTCCTGCTCATCCCTCAGGCAATGGACAGTGGAAGAGTCTTACCTCAACTCCTCCC